AAGATTGATATTTATCATTCATGTTACTTTAGATTTATGATATGTGGATAACATATAGAAAAACATATATGTTTTTGAAATATATATGATTCACAGGGTAAGTAGAATGATACATGTGAAAGAAGTGTCTCTATACTTGTTAATTTGAACAAGTGACGCATGTTTTTCATTTGGACAATTTGTTATGATCACTATACAAGTTTAGTTTGTTATAAATTCCTATATTATGTTTGACATATTAGGAATAAATTTTTCAAAATAAAGAAAGAAAATTAGTCTTTTGCATTTAGTATCCAGTTTTGAACTGTTTACTTTGATGATATTGCATAGTCCAAAGGTTATAAGATTAGATAACATCTTCAAATTAACTTTTATAGTAAAATGTGAGTTGTTTGATGAATTCTCTTAACTAATACATTTGATCTATTTAGTCTTGTGAGAATTTATTAAGGGTTTATACTTCATTACTCTCAAGTTTAATCATACTAGACGATTAAAATATACTTTCAGGTATAGAGTTGAGGCTTTGAAGGAGTTCAAAGTATATAAGGCAGTAAGAGTTAATTTATGAAGGTTTAATATTATGATACGATCATAACATTCATTACCTTGATCAAACAAAATCTTATCTAAGTAAGTTATACAAACTATAGAAGTATAGTATTATATAAAGTAAGATCAAATATTTTATTATGAGATATGTTTGATAAACAGTCTTAAGTTATGCCTTTTGTTATCTCCTGTAATGAATGTTCTACGACAATAGTTGATTATGGACTATATAAGATATGTGTCAGATAGATCAATCAAATTTACATAAAAAGTTTGGGTTACCACTTTATATGTTAACATTTGATTAGTTCTTAACTAGTTTGTGAAGTATCTAAAAAGAGTTTGGTTACTTATTTTATTTTATTATTCTTGCGAAACTTTATTTTCTCGTTGTACCCTACCTTTAAGAAATGAAGTGTTTATTTCAAAAAGGTTAGTGGGAGTGATAAAGTACTGTGAAGGTATTCATAACCACAAAATGGTAATTTCAACTTATAATAGAGTGTCAGTTTTAGACACATAATGATGTGTGTTAGCAATAGTTACAAATTATGATAAGGGATATCAAAGTTGCATTTTGCAAAACGACTTACTATATAAGATATAATTTTAAACTCTATATCCAAATATCATAAGAGAGTATTCAAGAAACGTGAATCTAATTTGGATTCATGCATTTTGATTTAAAAAATCAAAGTGTTTGATTTTATTAAAATCATTGGATGTCTCGTGTATTCAGTTTCTTGAGTGGGAGAGTTGAGTTTATTTTCTGTTACTTTATGTGTGACATAATGTATAGAAAGAAAACAAGTACCTTGATTTCATAGTTTAATTATCGTTGAGTTATTTATTATTCTTAAGAGTTGAGAATAGTGATTCGGACTTTGGAAGTCATAATCTATGCGAATATATTGTAAATATTACTTGGCTATGTAATACTAAAGTTATTTAGTATGTACTTATTGTACCAATATTTCCATATAGTTTCACTATTGGATCTAGATTGTCAGCATACATAAGTACTAGACCTTAGCTATTATGCTCAAAATGTTATAAGCATGTTAAATAACTCATAGTGAAAGTCGCTAAATGATAATCGAGAATTTGGAACTTCTCATCGGCCGATCAAACGTAGATTTGTACATGTGTTAATCCATCTTTTAAAGATGATAAAAATTTGTTTGTGTTTACTCTTGATGATAGTATTTCATGGTTGATATGTTCCAAGTAGAATACTATATAATAGTTACAACTTGTGTCATTACATCAGAATTTCTAAAAGAGTTTAGAACACTTTTGGATCAAGAAATTCTTTATTGAATTTCAGTTGTTTCCATCATTTGGAAAAATCTTGTCTCATCAATGATCCAGTGATGTATGTGGTTTTATCATTTGATATTTGATCAATGATTCAAGATAGAAATCCTAGTTGAATAAATTTTCTTTCGTGGTAAATGTGTTTATCAGTTGGTTTTAGTCCAAGTGGGAGAGTTTTATTCAATATATGGACAAAATGGACAAAAACCAATTAATTTTGGTATTTCTTTATATTTTATGCAATATGGACATATGGAATTCTTTATCATTCATTTTACTTGTTTAATTACATAAATGAATGGTAAAATCACAAGAATAATATTTGTATAGAAGAAATCATAAGAGTTATGATAATGAGATTCTTCATATAGCTTTATGATATTCTTAAATCATTCCTAGTCATAGTATTAACAAGATGGAATATTGTTAATACGGATAGACTAGCACATGTTATGCTTACTCTTAAAGTAAGAGTTAGTTGATCTCATTGACTATTGTGTAGTGAGACAAAAGCAAATATGTGGATGCTTGTTAGAGAACAAGTACATTGGATTGACCTGCTTAGAGATTTTCATAAGGTAATCTATTTGAGTGCTAATGGAAATAATCTCTACATGACGTAGTGTAAGTGATCCTTCGACTTGAGATTATAAGAGTATTCGGAGTGTGGATTACTATGTTCTAGCTCTTTTGGTCCTTAACCTTAGTTAGTTATGTGTGCTTTTAGAGTTGAGTATACTATGAAACATGAATAGAAGTTTATGATCAATAAAGGATTCACCACTTCTAATAGAAAGAAAAGTATATCCATTAACGGCCAATTGTAGGAATTATGACTCGGAAATGTTTGCGCAAACTAGAAAAGATTTTAGAATTGTTCTAATTTCAATTTCAAATGAGTTATATTTCTGGAACAAGAAAGAATTGATTAGTTCATAAAGAGTTAGCACTTACCCTTACTCTTGAACTAATTTGGATATAGGATTGTGAAAGGATAATAATTACACGGAATCTGTGCCTGGAAAGGTAAATTCGATCACATGACTTTTCCTAACACTTGGGTGGTCATGATGTCTGGCTAGAGGCCAATCTTGATCTATAAATATAAATTTATAATCCTAAAATTCTCATGGCTAATTGTCTTTAGTCCAAGTGGGAGTTTGTTGGTTTTATGTCCAAAAGCCAATTAATACTAGGATTAAAATTTATATTTATTGCCAACGTGTTTTAGGAACCTAAAGGGTCACACACAATAAGACAATTAATTGGGATAAGTTAGGGATAAATTAATCACAAGGACTTATTAAATAAATAAGATATGGACTTTATGGTAATTACCGAGACCCAAAGTCTTATATAAATAAGTCACAGACATAAGTTCTGGAATTAATCTGTCGGTTCCATAAACCTTAGTTAAAATCCAGAGAACTAGCCATCATGCCTTGTGTCTATATCCCAAGAATTGTTCGTTTGGATACCGTTAGAGGCTGGATAGTTGAACAGTTTTGTGATCAAGCTTCACCCCGTGTTGATCGTGATTGTTGGATTAGCTGTTAAAGGTACAGAATTCTGAACTGTTTATATTATTTATAGATTACAAAGTGATCTTGGTATAAAATCAGTCTGTGTTTATTCCGCTGCATTAGGATTGATTTGCTTACAAAAATTTCATCTCAAAAAAAAAAGAAAAAGAAAAAGGTTTTATTATTTTGTGAAAGAGACTAGTTTGACTTTAATTATTTCATTTGGAAGACTCAACTACTCTGGACAAGTGACTAAATTGACAAATAATTGAATTGTTTTAAGACGATGGACCGCAATGGATCTGTGTCCCTGAGATAATATGTTATAATCCTATATCATACTCCATCCGTCCCAGAAAAATAGTGGACATTGAATTTATAAATTTGTATCATTAGGACGGAGGGAATATTGTTTATCAAATTAAAATTTCTTACACGTCAAAGTTGGTTTTTTTTTTCTAGGGGGAATATACTGCCATCATGAGTCAAAGACATGTCCCCTGATTGGAGTCTAAAGAGTATTTGTTAAATAAAAAAAAAACAAAAGAAAAAATCGAAGTGAAGAAGAAGAGTAACTCTACAGGCGATAACCACTATACATATATATATATATATATATATATATATACTTGAAGCAATTTAATTCTCTTATGAGTGTTACATGAAGGGAACTCTTGTTTCCTAAGACAATTAAACAGAGATGGTAAAAACTATCTAGCACGAAATATTGAAGCAATTTAATTCTCATAAAAGTGTTACATGAAGGCAACTCTTGTTTCCTAAGACAATTAAACAGAGATGATAAAAATTATCTTGCACGAAATATTTTCATATTTGAACTGAAACTAAGAAAAATGATGGAAAATGTAAAAGATGAGAAAAAGAAACTCGGAAAAGAAATGAAGAATGGGATAGAAATTGTTGAAGAACCGAATGGTGCATCAAGAGGTCCTTTGAATTTACTGAAAGTATTACTCTCTCTCTCTCTCAGAAAATAGTTTATATTGAGTTTTGAAATTTATCATAAAAACAGTACAAATTTAAAAACTCAATGTTGACTATCTTTTTGGGAAAGGAATTGGGGCAATTCAACTCTCTTTTCCAATAGTTTGGGCAAGGATTTTTTTTATGTATATATTCGGTGTTCAAAATCATTGCTCTGATTAATCTGAATTCGAATCGAGTAGATCCCTTTCAAGAGGCAAATTGCTCCGAACAAGTATTTTAACTAATGGTGTATGGTTATTAATTCCCGGTTTTTTATCCCTAATCACAGTTAAATTGGTCCAATAATTTTATCACTTCGACCAAGTACCTGTTAATGGTAAAGAAATATTTCATTCACCTAAACTTCTAAAATTATTCCCGACACTATCAATACTCCAGCCCCTACTTCTATAAGGTTTAAGGATATTGGATTCGGCTAGAAATTCATGCATTTGTAGCATGGATAAATAACTAAGTCAAAGAAGAAAGGCTAACAAATTTGAATGGCGGGGGGTTTTTGTCGCATTCGAAGCGACGCAACTTGCGAATAATATAAAAAAGACAAGTTTTGGATCGTATGAATATACTACGTTATATATGTGCCGAGTTTGATTGGATCACATGAAAAAGAACAAGTCTCTGGCGCGTTGCTGGCCAGACAGGCCGGAGATCATGTCCAGATATACCCAACTGTTGTTTGTTTGCTTCCTTCTAGTCTGCTTCCATGTTTGCGACTCCGATGATCTTTATGTGTCCCATTACTGCTCCAACGATACATTATACAACGTGAATAGTACCGACGGCCAAACTTATAGAAACAACCTTAATTCTCTGCTCTCCGCATTGAAATCAAACGCTGCTCGGCCAAATGGATTCTACAATTTCACCGCCGGTACCGGTGCCGCGACCGTGTATGGATTTTTTCTCTGCCAGGGCGGTATTACAACAAGCGATTGTCAAGGATGCACTATTAATGCCGGAAGAGACATTTTAGGCAACTGCGGGGACAAAAAGCAGGCTGTTCTTTGGTACGACTCATGCATGATGCGGTATTCAAATGAATCCATCTTTTCTGTTCTGAATCTAAACAATAGCTATACTCAGTACAAGCCGGGTAACGCAAAGAACCAGACGCTGTTGGACCGGGCTTTGAATGAATCGTTTAGTCAGATAGCCACCCGGGCTGCGAACGAGGATCCGAATTCCGGCTTCAAATTGGCATTTCAAGAAGCCAATTACACGTCGAATGATAACACCAAGTTGTACGCGATGGGACAGTGCACTCCTGATCTTTCCAGTTCGGATTGCGGAACTTGCCTCAACTCTGCTATTTCGTATATGTTCGATTGCTGCAGTGGTCAAGAGGGAGTTAGGGTGCTTCTCCCCAGCTGCTTTATTAGGTACGAGACGTTTCCGTTTTACCAACTTCCATCGCCTCCACCGCTGGAGCCGGCCACTCCCAGCCTTCCTCCGTCTTCTCCTCCTCCTCTCGGCGAGGCTACTGCAAGTAGTAAAGGTAACCCCCAGTCCCCCACAGCCCAGGTGATTTTTTTCTCAGGTCAATCAAATCATATCTTTTTATTTATTCATAATTCTGTTAATCTTACAAATACAATTAGCTTCCGATTGATACGTTTCCTTAGAACAAACCCAAGTAGGGGAGTAAAAGAATAATGGAAGGTCAATGGGCCTAAGAATTTCGTACATCATAGGCCGGGTATAACACGGCTAAGATCTCTTACATCATGATTTTACACCATTTACTAAATCATTATGCCATATTTTGCAAACATATCCATTCAAATGCTCACTACCTTTCCATAACAATAGTCTATTTATTTTGTGACTTCCAGCCAATCATAAAAATCTTATGTTTTATTTCTTGAAATAAAAGGAACACTCCCTTTCTCCCCCAAAAAAAAAAGAAAAACGCACAATGAGTTTTGAGATTTATACTGTTTTCAGTAAAAATATTAAATTCAATTTTAATTTGTTTTTGAGACGGAAGAAGTATTTTATTGAAGCAAAGGAATATTATCTAATTTCTTAAAATTTAAGTAACACCTTGACTAATCATAGGATGAAACCCTTAGGGACCCATGTAAAAAAATCCGGATGAGTGATGCAAGATATGTTATGGGAATTATGTTGAAGAAAATTTTAAGACGTATAGTGCAATTAGGCAACTATATATTGCATACAATTCTACCTACAATTGAACTTCTATAAGTAATAGAGTGGTCTCGAAATTTTTATTAATTTATTGAGTTGTTAATAATTAGTAATTTTGCAACTTCTTATTTTTTCAACTTCTCATAAATTAACTTGCAAATCATTTCTTCTAATAACCAATATTGTCAGACCAAGATTAGAAAGCGACCCGGCCGGTGACATTAGAGGTTTATTGGGTCAACCTTTTTAGCCCGGAACATAAAATTAGATAAAAAAAAAAAAGAAGACATACTTTATTATGATACATCAGTAATAAAAAATACTTATTAAATAATTAAATATCAGGTTGAAGAACAACTTAACCATCTATAATACGGGGAATGAGGTCTTGGCCTAGTTGTAAGGATCTTCTAGAGGTCCAAAGATCTATTCCCATCCAGGGTATGCAAAAGGGGAATTTTTCTCACATTTAAGTAGAGTTCATTGGGGTGGATTTTTATTATTTTAATTAAAAAAATCCATAATACTTCAAAGTCTAAAAAGCTTAGTTCAAGCTAATTATAGTTCAAATTATAAAAGGCTTATTCAAAGACAATAGATGACATATCAATCATCAAATAGACCATAATCCTCAGGCATGATCATTTTCGTTTGCACATCTTTCCCGTTATCATTGTGATCATTTCATATATCTTGAAACTTTAACAATTTCTGAAAGATATAAATTTGAAATGGAAAAACTAAATATTATTACAATTTACAATCATATTTCACTAAAATTTTCAACTTATTTAAGGTAATTCTTAAAATAAAAAAATATGGAAATTATCTTCATCGAGGTTTCATGATTATTTATTGTTTTTATTTATTAACAGAGTATTTTCGTATTTCATACTGGTCAGTCTGATTCTAAAATGGGACATGAATAATTTATTATTTAATAAATTTATTAATTATTAGAGTATTAACTTGTACATAATTTACTGCGCCATGCACAATTATTCTTTTTATTTTTTTGATTCTAAAAGGTTCTTTCCTTATTCTGTACAAGAATAATTACAAAACAAGAAAACAAATGAATGAATTGATTTCAAATAATACATGAGCTTGAATATGTGATTTTCTTCTTGATTGAACCTTTAATCAAATCAATCGGAATATAGAACAAGAGATCTTGTTTAATTTGTGATTGTACAGATACAGAGAGTGCCTCAACCACGAAAATTGTGGCCATCATTGTCCCAATCACTGCCATACTTGCGATTGTATTAATGGTGTTCTGCTTTGTACGGAAGGCAAAAAAGAAACAAAATGCCATTCATGAAACACCAGGTGACTTTTCTCAATTAGGTACCTGAAAGGTGCCTTATTTCAGAAAAAAAAAAAAAAAAAAAAAGACGAATGTTATACTACCTCCGTCCCAAAAAAATAGTCCACATTAAGTTTTCAATTTTGTACTAAAATTAGTTAAAATCTCAAAACTCAATGTTGACTATTTTTTTGGGATGGAAGTAGTAATAAATAAGAATCATCCTTCCGAAACCTGGTCCAAGTCTAATTCAGCAATGTGTATGATATTGTTATGGTCACTGCAGGAATAAGCAGTATGGGAACTGATGCAGAATCCTTGCAGTACAGTTTTGCTCAAGTTCAAGCTTGCACAAACAACTTTGCTCTTGAAAATAGGATTGGTGAAGGCGGATTTGGTTGTGTGTACAAGGTACAATTTAAATTGGAAAAAAAATAGAAAAAAGGCAATCATGTTCCTCAATTTCTTTTTAATTAAAGTAATTTCCTTTTAGTTCAGGAATTTGATGGAATGAGATCTCAGTTCCTTCTACGTACTTAACATCAATCTATGACATAGACATGAGTGCAAAAAAGAAATATAAACAAAAGGCAGTTTCAAACTATTGAACTGCATGGTCTTACTTCTAACATGTGCTTTTAAAATGTATTTGTTGTCAATACGAGGTTCTTTTAGTGACACATATAATGATGCTATTTTTTTTCAATTTATTGAGAGTTTAGAACTAAAACCAAGCACATGTTCATCAACATTTGGGCTAAAATCAATATGTTTGGGACTAATCTATTAGATTTTCCAAAATCTTGAGACTAAAATGTAAGATTTCCCTTATATTTGTTATTATACGAAAGGTCAAAAAAATGACACGATAGTGATTAGAGGTCAAGGTCGCAACTTGAGATTTCTTTTTTCATGTTGGGAATAGTTGGACTAAATTTTAACATGTTAAATTGTAAATCAAAAGTTCATAATATTTTTGCATTAATCTGTAGTTATATCTGTTAGGGTACATTGCCAAATGGGCAAACTGTAGCGGTGAAGAGATTGTCTAGAGGCTCATCACAAGGTAGAGAAGAGTTTATCAATGAAATTGTGCTAGTTGCAAAACTTCAGCACAGGAATTTAGTTCGACTATTGGGTTATTGTTTGGAAGGCGAAGAAAAGCTGCTCATTTATGAATATGTTCCAAACAAAAGCCTTGACTACTTTCTTTTTGGTGAGTTTTGATGCGCATTACATACTCTAATAAGGGTAAAGGAACAAGATTTACTGAATTATCTTGATGGTCTCACTTATTTAGGCTGTTGATTGATTTTGGTTCCCCTCTCTCTCTCTCTCTCTCTCTCTCTCTCTCTCTCTCTCTCTCTCTCTCTCTCTCTCTCTCTCTCTCTCTCTCTCTCTCTCTCTCTCTCTCTCTCTCTCTCTCTCTCTCTCTCTCTCTCTCTCTCTCTCTCTCTCTCTCTTCTTTAAAGAAGGTCCGAATTTAAATTAAGTCGGACCTCATTTCACCTAAATTTTCTGTTTTAAGTTCTAAATATAACATAAACCTCTGAGTTATAGGCAAAAATAAAAAACCCCTCAACTCTCTACTCTCTAGTACTCCCTCCGTTCCATAATTATTGTTCTGTTTTGATTTTTATTTTTAATAGAATTTACACTAAAAGCGAACTTTTTTAACTGGAAAATAATTTCGGAACGAGGAGTATATAAACCACCTTGTAAGTGACTGATTGGTACTTTAATGATCTTTTTTGTCAATTGACTCATTGGTACTTTAATGATCTTTATTGTGATGTACAGATCACGAGAAGAAATCATTGTTGAATTGGGTGACTCGTTATAAGATTATTAGAGGAATAGCAAGAGGGCTTCTATATCTTCATGAAGATTCTCGTCTGAAGATTATACATCGTGATCTCAAAACAAGTAATGTGTTGCTAGACCAAAATATGAATCCAAAAATTGCAGACTTTGGCACCGCGAGACTTTTTAAAATCGATCAATCTCAAGCAAACACTAACAGGATTGCCGGTACATTGTAAGTTTTTACATTCCTTCAACGATTTATAGTTCATTTCTTGACGGATTAGTTTTGTCATGTCTCGCCACAGTTATCGATTGTACACAGTATTAAAATGAAAGTAAGTATTCAGTGGAGTAATTAAAATTAATAAACGGATTAAACAATTCTCATTTAACTATTTAATTATTTGCGAAAATGTTATGTTGGATGGCATTGAAGGTTACTAATTTACAAAAAAAAAATGATTAGTGCAAGGAAAAAATGACAATGAAAAATGACAATAAGATTAAGGTATACCTTTGATGAATGACACATCATTCCTTGTAATTATTCCTTGTAATTTTTCCTTGTACACTACTCTTCACAAAATGAATCTTGGTTACTATTTCATGTCTTTGGAAACCCGAAATAATGGAATTAAATTCACATTTCGACTTACTATTTTATGTAGCATCTCTTTAATTTGATATACCTTTCTAGAAAACATAGATAATCTAATAAAAATAATATGTCGTGTGACATGAATGTGCCATGTGGCAAAAGAGGGATTGTTAGGTTTTGTTTGATAGTCACTTATGAATTACTACTATTTAAATCCATTTAAGTAATATAAATGAGTGTTTTCACCGCTTAAAAGTTTTATTAAATTAAATGTCAAATTAATTAAATAAGTATTTAATTAAGTGTATTTATAGATAATACCACACTGTCTGAACTAAGTGGATCGGGATCACCAATTCAATTGTTGTTGAGGAATAAAGTGATAACTTTACTACTTATTACTAAATATCAATTATTTATAATGATTTCTTTAAAACTTTTCTTCTCATTTTTGTTTTTAAAATGATTATTATATTTATATTTCTTTGAATACTTCTGATTTCCGGATAGATATTTTTTCAGAGTGATCAAGCTTGAACTTAACTTATGAGCAAAAGAACATTAAACTTCCGGACTCAAGTTGGACTAATTTTTAGAGATGATGTATTTTTTTTCTTTCTTTTTTTCAAATAACAAAGAATCCATACACATGTAAATATATAAATATAATCTAAATTTGATTATTTTGATTACCAGTAAGTCTGTAATATCCAATTTCAAAATATATGCTCAAAAAAATGAATTTCAAAATTTTTATTTTTCCTATATATCTAAATTATGGACATAGTATTAATTATGTTTTTATTAAGTTTGTTATTTAATTGTGACATTTATCATTAAAAGGATACATAAAATCTCCGAACTTAAGTTTTCATATTCAGTCTTCAAATTTCATGCTTTAGTTTTAGTATCCATACATCATATTCAAACATTTTTATCCAGTAAAACGAATTTACTCTTAAAAGTTCAAACTTAAGCCGTAAATATTAATTAAGTGTACAAAATTAATTTCAAACTTAAGTGATTAAATGATAGCCTTAGCTTGATTTTTTGTTTCTTACACATAGTTCCAAATGTACAATGAGATACCATTTGCCAAGACCGTTCTGACAAGGGCCTTTTCAGGACACCCAATAATGTTATGCAAAATCAGATTCCTTCAGTATATGCATTTCTCATTGCTTTAAATGGAAACCAATTTTTTCATATCTAATATATTTAACATTACTTAAACTCATTACATTCCTTTTTTAATAGGTACTACAACCAAAACAAAGAGAAAAAGTAAACCTTTTATGGTAAATTTACACTTGGTGGCATGATTTTGTAGGATTTTTTTTTTTTTTGGCAAAGTCCGTGTTAGCTAGAACAGTCTTGACAAATCATTTTCTCATGTACAATATTCATACATGAAACTATATATACTATCCTTCCTATAGAATAGATTGGAAAATGAGATTAGAAAAACATGAGCTATGGGCAAGATGCATTTACATACCTGAATAAGACAAGTAGACATTATATAAAATCTTTCAACGAAGTATAAGAGGCAGGAAGAAACTTGATAGAAATTAAGATAAGCTAAAGAGTTAATAAGAATAGTATTCTATTGTATTAGGTTTATATATATATATATATATATATATAGAGAGAGAGAGAGAGAGAGAGAGAATAAATGTTATGATTTGATAGAGGATAATGGTGTCTTTTTTTTTTTTTTTGAAGTGGTTATATGGCTCCGGAATACGCATTGCATGGCTTGTTCTCGGTGAAATCAGATGTATTCAGTTTTGGTGTTTTAGTATTGGAAATGATAAGTGGAAGGAAGAACACTAAATTTCTACAATCAGAAGCTGGTGATGACCTTCTAGGTTATGTAAGTTTTCAACCAACCAGAATGACATGAAATTTCCATTTTGTTCAATACATGGTATTTTCTTAAGAACAGCATTTGTTGATGATTTCTTTGATACTTTAGAGTGAAAAATGTTGATTTAGTTGTACTTTTACGCGTTACCAGTAAATAAATGCTAATTTAATACTTTTTTTCTTACAAAATTTCCTTTACATATTTTAATTCGCGAGTTATACCAAACATAGTATAAACTGTAATGTGGATTTTTCTTGGATGGAGGAACTATCTCAACTGTGTTTCTTATTTTAAATTAGTTTGGTGTATATATACAGACAAAACCAGATCGAGGATTAAAAAAAAAAACTTTTGTTGCTGGCTAAGCCTCTCATTTGGCTAGCTCAAATGAGTCTGGGAGGGCTCCATTCACTCTGATAATTTTCTTTGAGGAGCTCTTAGTCGATCTTACATTTCATATTATTACAGTAATATCGCTTCTACCCATATGTTTATTTTGCAGTCTTGGAGAATTTGGAGAGATGGAACACCCTTAGCATTGCTTGATCCGAACATCCCTGATCCCTTTGACAAAAATGAAGTGATTCAATGTATTCACATTGGCTTACTGTGTGTCCAAGAAGATCTTCAACTCAGGCCTACCATGAACTCAGTGGTCTTGATGCTGAATAGTTACTCCGATACGTTGCAAATTCCAAATCCACCACCATTGTTTGGCCATAGTACGCAATGTCCAGTAAGGCAATTCAATTCTAAGCAGGATGATGAAAACACAATAAATGAGACGGTCATCACCGAACCTCATCCTAGATGATTGCCGGATGGACACTTACTATGAGTATTCTTCATATTTGTGATTGGACAGTTCAAAATGATCATGTTGGAGTTTCAATATATAGTTGTCAAGAGTAAATATAAACTTGTTATTATGAGGCCCAATATTTTTAGAATACTTCATGTCATATGCAAAATAAACAGTCATGTTGTTTAGTACGTAGTTTATGTGTGGAGCATTGAGAAAAACATCTACATATATATAGGAGAGAATCACCTTTTTTTGCTCGGTTAAGTGCAGGTTGAGGGTCAACTGTAGACATGTGTCTTGATTTCTGACCAACTTCCTTCGTCACTTTCGTTTTAAGCGCGTCATATTCTCTCCTTACGTGTTGCCAGTTGCCCCTTTCTCTTTCACGTTGCCCTAATGTGAATAACCGTAATTTGATAATTTGGGAATTGAATGAACTTCTGAAAACAAAGAGAGTTGAGAAATTCCTTTTTCATTCATGCATTTTCTATTATGTACAGTGTGCTATTTATAGATAAATATATCGTGGAGCTTTGCTAAAGTAACAGAACTATACAGAAAGAATTCCAACTAACTACAATATGTACAATCTGGAAATCACAGTCACAACTTGGTGACTTTAGCTCCTGTGGAACACTCTGGATCTTCCTGGCAGTTTCCTCATGTGGAGGATCAGTTTTCAGCTACTTCCAAGAGCAATGGAGGATTGATCTGTGCAATGCAGCATATGTACATGTGTGAAAGGATGTTGATCAAGAGCATACAAACAATTAATCACTGTACCAGCTGTGAAGACTTTAAAGGTTCGAAGGACTTGCAACAAACAAAACTCATCAAAAAACTGGAAAAACATGCGGGAATCCTTGGCTAATTTTTGAACTGATAAAAGATTATACTTAAACTTGGGAAGATGTAAACAGGATTTCAAGGTCATAGAATCAGAAGGCACAACATCCCCAACATGGGTTACTGATTGAGTACACCCATCGGACTGGTGTAAAGGTTTTAACACTTTGTGGATTAGTTAACATTTCTAAGAAGGCATTCATGTGACCTATAGCACCAGTGTCTTTGAACCAAAAAAAGATAAAACATACAATCAGACTTGGAAAGTATTGAGGCAGGACAGGGCTACCTGCAAAATCCTGAAGTTGAACGAAATTGACTGAATTAGCTCCTTCGGCTACTGCTTTTCCTTTGATCATCTTGTTAATACCCTTTGTACTGCAGTTGCTATATCTTCTTCCCATCCTGATTCCTGAGTTTCATCAAACGATGTCTCAACAATGTTAATTCTTATTAACGTCCCACTTTGGAGGAAATCCGTTGAGCTTGAAGCATTTTTCCTTGATATGTCCATCTCTGTGGCAATATGAGCATGTCTGTTCGGATATCCTACCAGCTTGAAACAGTTTTTCTAAATGTGTCCTGGTTTCTTACAATAATTGCAGGTTTGATGTGCTTTATCAGTCTTACCAGCAGTCTTTGGATCAAAGTTCTTATTCCAAGTACCTCCTTCCTTAGCAACCATAACAATATGCTCTGCATTGGTTGCAACATGAATACTGACTTGCTGATTTTTCTCAGCCTTGAGGATCATTGAATAAGCCTTATTGACATTAGGCACAGGATCCATCATCAAAGTCTAATTCCTCTCAGCATCAAATGTATCACTAAGTCCCATGAGGAATTCCATCGTTTGATCCTCAGTCCCATGAAGATCAATCAAAGTTCTAGTTATCAGGATCAGGCTCAACGTGCTCTGATACCATCTAGAAACTCATGAATCAGAGACATAATGAAGAAGGAATAAGCTAATAAATGTGAGAACCCTAATTTTGATAATTTGGGAATTGAACCAACTTCTGAAAACAAATAGAGAATTTTAATATATGCGCTCACTTACTAAGTATATGCGGTTTTAATTTCCTACTATCATGGAATTTAAAATCCACCAAGAAATTTGCGGATGGATCAAGGACTTCTCCATGTGAAAGACTAGAAGAAATGAGTGATGGTTTGGGATAATCCCCGCGGAAGCTCTCCTATTCTAAAGTCAGAGTTGTTCCTCTGAGGATATTATAAAGTGTGTTGAAGTGATCAAAATCAGGCGGTTGATGTGAAGATAATATTCCTTTTTTTTTTCCTCTCTGTAGTGACATTCGGCTTCGGCCCATCTATGTTCTCATTCATATATATTCGGCATCAGCTTTCGCATGGCCAGCTTTACTAGTAGTATTGTTTTTGATGTGATTACTGTTATATCATTTAGATGGTTTGGTTTTTTAATGTATGGCATCTGATTTAAGGGTCAGTTTTCCAACATCTTGGCCCTTCTATTATTTTTCATCGACAGCTTTACAAATAGTAATGCTGTTGGTGAAATTAGTGTTTTCGTTTTTAGATGGTTTGCTTTTTCCGATAGAAGGGCATCCGATTATGTTCTGATGTTCAACAATACCCCATCTATTATGTAGTATCAACAGCTTTGCACATAATTTTTTGCTGCTACATAATAATACTCTGTCCCAAAATTATTATTCAATTTGAATTTTTATTTTAGTTTAATTTATTTTAAAATGAAAACTCAAATTGGACAATAATTTCAAAACGGAAAAGAGTATATCTAATTAGGGTTGAATCCGTCTCGCAAAAGAGATTAATCGATTGCCAAGTCATTATCATAGTCAATTCTGCAAGCTAATTATAGGTGAGGAATTTCATTGATAGTGCTTTTTCCCCATTGCTCGTCGTTCATTTCTGCGAAAAACTTGTTGGTGAAACCATAGAATAGAACTATAGAATTATCCATTGATTTTAAAAAGGCCTGTAGAATTAGAATTGAGTAGCCTTTTTTTCTAATTCTTCTTTTTTAGTTGTTCATGCCATAGAGTAATAGTAATTCAAAGATACAATTGTATGCTCTTCGTCTCAGAATACTAATCTTTTTTTGTTAACAAAATTGGAAGAAGGAGTAAAACATTTAACAACTCTAGGTCGCAGTGTCTCCATTTTCTCACGTATTTACATTCTAACACCCCCTTCCCAATCGGGAAAAAATGGAGCTCACGACGGCATCTCCTTCCATTCTACTTTTGCTTCTCGATATGATTGCATTCTCTTTTCCTGGCTAAAGATCTTTCTCTCTCTATTGGATTTCAATCGAATGCTTTGAGTATTAATCTAGGGTTTTAGCTCTTAAAAACAGGTTTAAGATGCCAAAGAATTAGGCCTCAAAGGAGAGTTTTTTTTTGGAGGGGGGGGAGGGGGGAAGATGACCTAAAAAAATGAGTAGAGAGAAATATGAGTCGAATTTTGAAGAAGAGAGAAATACCGGGATCGGATTTATGAAATCCGATCTTACAGCAAAGTCGGATTCCCAAAATCCGCCCTTAGTTTAATACAAAAAATTAATTATGTTAATCAGGATTAACATAAAATCGGACTTCCAAAATCCGAAATTGTCCTAATAAAAAATTGTACATTGAGGAAAAATACTTAGTTTTTTTTCGAAAATTAAATTTTGACCAAAATCGAATTTTTGAAATCTGAATTTCTGCAAAAGAGTAACAAAGCCGGATTCTTGAAATTCGGGTCAGTTCAACAGTGCAAAGACTGGATTTCAGGAATCCGGGTCAGTTCAACAATGCTAAGGTCAGATTTCTGAAATCCGACCTTGGACAAAAATTTAGAAAAAACAAAAAGATTGGCTTCCAAACCAATCCCAACCTATCACGACAACACCAAAACTAAATTTCACATAGGAAATTGTCTGAAAACATATTCGAAACACATCGTAATAAACATTATCGAGTTTAAAAGCATTGAAATTCTAAAATCATCCAAATTACACATAATAAACATTAACGAGTTCAAAAATATTAAAATCACAAAAACATCCCAATAACACCGAATACATATCGAAAGAGTCCTAATATGAAACTACTTGGACGGTCTTTTATTCCCTCTAGCCCTAGTGTCGCCGGGAGTATACTTGTCGACCGCATTGCTAACCTTATAACTCTTGCAAAGTTGGGCTGTTTTCTTCTTTTTCTAGGAAGAAGTACGAGGTGGAGACTGTTCTTCTTCTTCTTGTTCCTCACCCCTATAATCTTTATCATTCTGACTGTCTCCATCATCTAGACACGGATTGGGATGAACTATCAATGCTCGATCCGGATTTACCAGTTTTTGCCTCCTTCTTCCTCCTCTAGTAGGCTGCAATGTTGTTTTCTGCGTGAGCTTAATAGGTTGACTTGACTCTGGGGCCCTTTTCTGAAGAACCTCACTATCATATTATTGAGTGTTCATATCATTTGGGGCCAAAGTCAGGGCGCTGAAACTTTTATCGATAATGTCAATAAGATTCTTCTGGAGATTACCACCGAGGGTCGGATTTTCCCGTAAGGTGGATTCAGCGATATGATATATGTCGCTGAAAATTTCAGCCTGAAAAATTTGAACAACACATCAATAAAGTATAAGATATAACAAAAAAAAATATGGAAAGAAATTGTTAAATTAAAGTAGCGACATAAATCTTACATAAAATCTCTCGGGACGAAGACGGCTGATAACCCTGTGCCATATTGCCATACTGGGTCGGATCAGTGATGAATCTGGCAGTCCTCCTTTGAAACCACGTCATGTAGTCTGTTGCGCACTGTGGACCTAGAGCCGGATCAACTAATTCATTAGGGATCACGTGCTCCTCTAAAATTCCAATGAGGAACTACCTCGGAGTGTTTTTGCGCCCAATCATCGTATGCCTTTCCGGTCTATTCTTCCCCCTTATGTATTGCCATCCAGCGATCAACACCACGGATAAATGGGTCCTCAAGTGTATCCTGCTTACACCCAAACTGACCAAGGACCCGGTTGGGCTTGTATGGTTCTCTCATGGCCTAATAAAAGATCCACGTTCTGGAGAGGTAGACATGAGTCCCCGCTTTACAAAAATTGGGGAGAGCGTCGATGAAGGGAGTGTATGGATGATAACATAAAAATATATACACTTTTAGCAGACATTTCTTACTCATTTCTACTTATAATTTAGTGTCAATTAGTTAGGATTAGTTTACTTTTGAGGTGAATTTGCAGTTCAGGTATCTCAGAGGGCCAATGTAAAAAATTAGCATAAAAGAGCGCCAAATTGCACAAAAAAAGGCATCAGAATGGTACAATGTTGCCAACACTGCTAACCCCAAGCTATAGGTAGCACATGCATCTAAATCCTATAC